TTAAATTTGGGGAATTATAAGATTTAATATATGTTAGGCTGGAATAAGAGGCTAGGAGACAGAATGAGATTGTAAGCCACCTACTGGGGGAGTAATTGTAGAAGAGACAGGTAAGGTAGCTAGGAACCAGATTTTGTCTTGCAAAGGAGTTTGGAGTTTACACTAGGAGAGGAGGGAGCCTCTAAAGTATTTTAAATTTGGGGAATTATAAGATTTAATATATGTTAGGCTGGAATAAGAGCCTAGGAGACAGAATGAGATTGTAAGCCACCTACTGGGGGAGTAATTGTAGAAGAGACAGGTAAGGTAGCTAGGAACCAGATTTTGTCTTGCAAAGGAGTTTGGAGTTTACACTAGGAGAGGAGGGAGCCTCTAAAGTATTTTAAATTTGGGGAATTATAAGATTTAATATATGTTAGGCTGGAATAAGAGGCTAGGAGACAGAATGAGATTGTAAGCCACCTACTGGGGGAGTCTCGCCGACTCACCTTTGTGTGCCAGACGTGTTTTATAGACAAACAGTATTATTTGCTGAAGAAATGAAAGGAAGACAGGAGCTCATGTTTAGAGTAGAACACAAATAGAGAAATTCATACTTTACCTGTGTTGTTCAGATCACACAAGTACAGCGCATTTTCCAGCTTTCTGAACCTGTCTATCCACATCTCATGTTGTTCGGGCTCTTTAATCACAGCTGGACTCTCATAAGGTTGGGAGACTGGCCTGACCTTCAAAGAGTTCACGGGATCTTGAGGGGCTGATGTCAAAGCAGCACAGTTTTCTGGCCACGGATTCTCTTCTGGAGTTTTCTATACAAACAACATAAGCATCTCACTGGCATACGTTTACCACCCAGATATTCTCCAGACTCTTGGCTAAAGATGAGGCCACACAACTAGGAAGATTTATTGCAAGGTCTGGCTTTGTGAAACAAGGAAGAGGAAGATCTCATATATTCAGTGCCACAAGGCCCAATCTGTCAAGTTCTTGCTGGATGCAAACATGGCAAGTTATATTTTTATTTTGAGAAGAGTGACATCATTACTTCAATTAAATTTTCTGACTCGCCATAGACAGAGGACTTTGAAACTGACTGACTGACTGACTGGCAGTTCTCCTGATGTTCTGGTCTTATGGCAGTAGAGGAATCTACAGGGATGGTGTTTCTGGGCAAAGCTGCCATCTCAGTGGCTTGTGAAGAAAGACTGGCTGGATAAGTAATGCTACCTCAGCTTGTGAGCCCATCGTAAAGAATGTCTAAATGTCTCTCTGCCTGTTACTTACAAAGGAACTGGAGATTCAGAAGGGAAAATTGATTTAAAAGAGAGGCCTTAGGGTACAGAGGTGATGCTTAGTTCATCTCAATGTCCAAATCTCCTGTGTGCTGCAAAATAGTAAAATAGACTAGTGGATCCCATTGGCACCTCATAGGGCATCCTGCCTCTTTCCATGTGATGAATGATGAGAGATGAATGTCTATGGTCTCATCAGCCCTGTCTTGGTCTTCCAGGAAATCCACATCCTACCTGTCCAGTCCACATGGTTGTAAGAAGAAGCACCATATTCTATTTGCATGGTTTAGTACTGGGTATCTAATATAAAGTACGTAAATAAGATTATTGCCCAAGAATGAGAGAGAGAGAGAAAGAGAAAGGAGAGAGAGAGAGAGAGAGAGAGAGAGAGAGAGAGAGAGAGAGA